ACTGGGAAGCAAACTATGGAGACAGTAAAAAGATCAAGGGTTGTCAGGGTTTGTGGAGAACAGATAAACAGACAGAACACAGGGGACTTCTAGAGCCATGGTGCTATTCCTCAGTGTGCTGTAATGGTGGATATGTCATTCTCCATTGTCAAAACTCATCGAAAGCACAACATCATGAGTGAACCCTAATATAAACTATGGACTTTGATAATCTGTGTCAATGGGGGCTTATCAATTATAATAAATGTACCACTCTTGATATTTGATAGGGGGGGGTTATGGGTGTAGGGGGACCAGATGTACATCCTACTCTGTAAGCCTAAAACTAGTGTTTTAATTGTATGTGTTTAAAAAAAAGAGCACACACATACACACACACACCACATACAATAATGGCTAGGGTCCAGATAGACAGTACTCCAGAGAAGATATCCAAGTGAATTATAAGCACATGAAAGCATGCTCAACCTCATTAACCATCAGGGAACTGGAAATCAAAACTACAATAAGACACTACTTCATACCTACTAGGATAGGTATAATAAGAAAAGACATGGGCCTGCGCTGTGGCGTAGTGGGTGGGGCTGCTACCTGCAATGCTGGCATCCCATATAGACGCCTGTTCATGTCCCAGCTGCTCCACTTCTCATCCAGCTCCCTGCTGATATACCTAGGAAAGCAGTGGAGGATGGCCCAGCTGCTTGGGTCCCTGCACACATGTGGGAGACCTGGGGAAGCTCCTGGCTCCTGACTTCAGTAAGGCCCATCTATGGCCATTGTGGCCATCTGGGAAGTAAACCAGCAGATGGAAGATCCCTCTCCCTCTCAACTCCACCTTTCAAATAAATAAAATAAATCTTTAAAAGAAAAGTCAGGCACAACATGTATTGGCCAGGATTGGAGAAGTGGTAAACTACTACATTGCTGGTGGGAATGTAAAATTGGGCAACCGTTTTAGAGAATAGTCTGGCAGTGCCTCACATGGCCAAATATGGGGTTGCCACGTGATCCTGCCAGTCTCCTCTTGGTTGTAGAATAAAGGAAATAGTAGGAAACTGAAAAGAAAGGAAGCATATGCCTATATGAAAACTTTTTATTGCAATCCAAAACTGGAAACAACTAAAATTTCCTCAACTGGTATGTGGATAAACTAAATGTGATATATCCATACAAAGCAATATTATTTGGCAATAAAAAGAAATGAAGTTTGATGCATGCTGCAACATGGATGAACTTTGAAAACACTTGCTAAGTGAAAAAAGCCAGTCACATTGCATGAATTGCTTATAGTAGGAGAGTTCATGGAGACAGAAAGTAGATTAGTGGTTGCCTAGCACTCCGGGTTATAGGTGAATGAGTTATGTATAAATAAAGCTGTTACAGAATGCATACAGAATGTCTCAACCACACTTTCACCTTTCTTGGTGAAATCAAAAGCAAAAAGTGAAACAAAAGCCTTTCAATTTTCTCCAGAGCTGCAGGACTTCTGATTGCCTTTATGAAGCAGCAAGACAGAAGTTTCTGTTATGGCACAAATAACAATCTAATTCAAAAAGAATAGAGAAAAACTGCATTAAAACTCCACATTGCATAACTTCAAACAAGCAGAATAGGATTACTACTTTTTGAGACAGATTGTGTACCCAGTGTTTTTTGATATCCAGATAATTATTTTGGCTTAAACATTGATGTAGCATCTTCTGTTGACTGCGCTGTGTTGCTGTTTTCTGCTGATACAGTTTACAGGTTTAGGACTCTTGAATTAGTTTTCCAGTCCATTTAGCGGATTTTTTTTCTCGCTTTTTAATTAATGGACATAAAATTAACCTATAATAAAATACATATCTTAGGCCGGCGCCGTGGCTCAATAGGCTAATCCTCCGCCTTGCGGCGCCGGCACACAGGGTTCTAGTCCTGGTCAGGGCGCCGAATTCTGTCCTGGTTGCCCCTCTTCCAGGCCAGCTCTCTGCTGTGGCCAGGGAGTGCAGTGGATGGCCCATGTGCTTGGGCCCTGCACCCCATGGGAAACCAGGATAAGCACCTGACTCCTACCTTCGGATCACCGCGGCGGCCATTGGAGGGTGAACCAACGGCAAAGGAAGACCTTTCTCTCTGTCTCTCTCTCTCACTGTCCACTCTGTAAAAAAAACAACAAAAACAACAAAAACAAAAAAAACCACACAACAACACACATCTTAAGCATTTAGTTTCATATATACATTCATGTAATCATTATCAAAGTAAGACATAACCTAAACCACACAACAACACACATCTTAAGCATTTAGTTTCATATATACATTCATGTAATCATTATCAAAGTAAGACATAACCTATCTTCATAATCCCAACAAGTTTATTCTTGATCTTGTCCAGTCACCCCTTTACTTGCCACCTTCTGTTTTATATCACTATAGATGAGTTCTGCTCATGTAAATTAAATCATTCAGTATATGTGTTTTATGTCTGGCTTTTCTCAGTCGGCTTACTGCTTTTTGTATTCACCCATTTTATTTCATGTATCAATAGTTCATTAATTTCCTATTGTTGAGTCCCATTTTGTTGTATGAATATGCCAAAATTTACCTTATCCACTTGCCTGTTGGTGGATATGTGTGCAACTTTTAGGAGCCATAAATAAGGCTGCAATGAACACTTCTGTGAACATATGTTTTCCTTTGTCTTAGGTAGAATTCTACAAGGATAATTGCTGAGCCGTTTGAATAACTTTATAAAATCTTTTAAACCATTTTCCAGTCTGGTTTAACCATTTTATATTCCCCCAGCAGAGTGAGAATTCCAGTTACTCCATGTCCTCACCAGTATTTGGTGTTGTCTGCTCTTTCACTTAAGGGATTCTACTGGTTATGGAATAGCATTTCATGGTGCTTTGAGTTTGCATTTCCATTTTGACTACTGAGATTCTTCCTCTTCTCTTGTGCTAACTGGACACTGCTACATCCTCTGGAAGTCATTTAAGTCTTTTGATTTTGAGAAAGGACTTCAACATGATGTTGGGGAATTTGCAGAATTCCTGCTTACTTGCTAGAGATGAATATGATCCAAGGACATGGCTTTTGAAGCTGATGTCCCACACTCCATAACCCAAGAAATTCAGTGTCCCACCTGCTCCATGAATTCGAAGTATAAAATTGAAGGTGCAAATAGATCAGTAAGATATAAATGGTAATTTGTAAAATTATGTATAAATTCAGTCAAATATCCAAACATTAGCAGTTCTGAGACATTGTTTCAATTTTGAAAACATTTTGTTTACTTATTTTTATTTGAGAACCAGAGGTGGGGGGAGAGAGAGAGAGAGAAGAAATCTTCCATCCATTGGTTTACTCTGCAAATTCTCACCACAGCTGTGGCTGGACCAGGCTGAAGCTGGGAGCCCCGACCTCTATCTGGGTCACTCACATTAGTGTCAGGGACCCACATTCTTGAGTTTTCACCTGCTCCCTTTCAGAGTGCACATTAGCAGGAACCTGGATCTGAAGCAGAGCCAAAACTCAAACCCGAGGACTCTGTTATGGGATGTGAGCATTCCAAGGGGAGTCTTAACCACTTGAATCAGACACCAGCCACTATTTCAGTTCTTTATGAGAATATAAACAAGCATGAGAATTTTTCTCACAGAGGCAGAGAATAGTGGTTTGGAACTTAGTCTGCAGGATGGGATACTAGATTTATATTTCCACCTCTGCCATTTTACTGTGTATTCTTTGAGAGACTTACTGTTACTTTGGGCTTCCAGGTTCCTCATCAAAAATTGGGAAGAAAATAACTATCTATATCGTGGCTGTTGTAATTAAAGGACTTAATACATATAAGACACTTAAAATAGGACTGGATCCACAGAACATGCTGGATGGGAGCTAGCTTTTGTCATTACTGACTTTGAGTTGACACACTAGCATGATTGCATCATATATTTTCCTTAGGGATAAAGCATATTTTATCATTCAATACCATTTATTTAATCATTAAATAAATTTGAACAGCTCCTTTGTGTGTGATTCCATTTGTACAACATTATAGAGATAGAGAATGTGTTAGGGAGGGAGTTCCTATTATGGTGGCAGAGTTTTTGGTACTGATTATGATATTTACTTTTTATCATCTAGACACATACACAGGCACACTCACACACATTAATGAGTACATGTGAAAATAGTGAAATCTGAGATTGTCAGTATCCTCCTTTGATATGGTACTGTGCTGTTTGGATGTGACTATTGGAGGAATCAATGAAGGATACACAGCAAATCTGTGATATTTGTTGCTGAATTTCAAAAATATAGTTTTATTGAGATATACTTCATATACCTTACAATTCACTGATGTAAAGCATATAAATCTGTGGTTTTCAGTGTATTCACAGAGTTGTGTAATTATCATGACAGGCAATCTTAGAACATTTTCATCACCTTGGAAAGAAATCCCACACTTTGGCTAATACACCTTCCCCTGCAGTCCCTGGCACCCACCAATGTTCTTTGTTTCTAAACAATTTCCTGTTCTGAATCTTTCATCTGAATGGAATCACATAATGTGTGGTCTCTGTATTATTTTTGCATCTAATTATTTCAAAATACAAAGTTTAACAAAAGGAATTGAGGTGTTGCTATTAGGACCAGCACTGTGCTGTGTGCTGGGAACGTGCAGCTAAATGAAGCCATGATTGCTGCCCCAGACAGCTTATAGTCAAGGAAGAAAAGCAGAAGAGGAAGTGGAAAATGAGAATGTAGTGTGGTAGGTGTGCTGTGGGAGGCCACACGGGCCAGGAGAGAATTGGGAAAACCATAACTCAGGTTTCGGTTGGGGGCAGGTACAGTACCCCAGAGGGATTGGTCATGACTCAGGGAAGGAATTGGGCACCATGTGTGGATGGCATCTCTAAAAGCAAACTTTTGTCCCTGTTGGCTGAGATTTTCCTGCTGAAGTTCTCAGTGGCCCTGCCGCCAGACAGTCCTCACCACTCTTCTTCTTCCTAGTGTCCAACAAGCACCCATTTGTGGACAGCAATCTTCTCTACCAGTTCAGAATGAACTTCCGTCGGAGGAGACGACTGATGGAGCTTCTCAATGAGAAGTCCCCCTCCTCCCAGGATACGCACGACAGTCCCTTCTGCCTGAGGAAGCAGAGCCACGACAATCGGAAATCCACCAGCTTTATGTCAGGTATGCCAGTTCTGTTGTGTTTTGGGATGCTGTATTTGTCTTTTGGGAAATTGTAGAGTAATAATTCACTTTCGTGAAATTCTGTTCTCCAAAAAATGTTGTTTAAATTGTAACTGAGAAGTATGCGAAACAAATTAAAAAATGCACAGCCAATCTAGATGACATGAAGTCAGTTTTATAAAATTTTGTCCTAGATTTATAAAAGACCTTTCACTCTTGTTTTTCATTTACAACCAATTCTTACACATAACCTATGACTCAGTTTTCTAAATCACAACTTTGAAAAGCTATTGTAAAGGTGAATAAAAGGAAAACCACAAAGGATTCTCAAAAAAATTCAAAGAAATTGCATATTATGAAAAGCTATGCATGCATTTAAAACATTTTTGGCATCCAAATAAACATCGATTTATTCAGTTTTTCTGAGGATGTTTTGAAGTACCCTGATACACAGATAACAACTAAAAGGCAACTAGTTATCAATCAGTCACTAAAGTTTGATACAAAATCAAGGGAAACTCTGAAAAGCAGACTCAGGAACTAAGCAACATGACATCTTGTGGAAGGTAACCATCTACAGCTAGTGATGGATGGCCACAAGGATAACGCCTGCCTCTAGAAAAGGTGAATTCGAAGTAAGTGCCATTTTGCTTAAGTGCTTACAAGGGTTCTGTTAACTTTCCTGAAGTTAGCATTGCTTTAAGGAAGTTTTCGGCTTAACCTGCCACCCCATGCAAAATTAAAATGTCACGTGTTGGTATGAATCAGCTGACAATGAATGCACAACTAGGTATGACGATTTGTGCGTGCTCCAGGACCTGAGTCGAGTTTGGTGCGTGAATTTTCTCATTTAATTCTCACAGTCACCCTGTGATAAAGAACTTCACCCATTTTACACGTGAAGAAACTAGGACACAGAGCAATGCAGTGGCTTAAGCCAAGGTCAGAAAGTGCTGGGCAGAGCTGTCTTTCTCCATTGTTTATATTAAACTGCCCACTCCCAACCCTGCACAACCCAGTGCTTCAGACACAGCTGTGTGGAGAAGAGAATGATCCAAGAGCTGCTGTGGACAAATGAGAGCCTTCTGAGGGTCAGAATCCTCCCCTGGGCCAACTGACCAGATAGAGAGGACAGGCCAGTTGTATGTCTCTTCATACTGGGTTTTCTGCAAGTCTAGTAAGACTGTTCACTTTCTCCCTGGCGCAGAGGGATGCCTATTTCTTAAGAGCACCCAAGGGACCTAAACAACTGACATCAATGAGAATCTGGTAACTGTGGTCTCATAAAGCCAGAATTTACTTTGCACTTCCCTTGTGCCAGACACAGGAAGGGGTGGTCTCCATGGCTTCCATCATTTAATCAGACACCTACCCCTTGTGGAGAGGCAGCTTACTCCATAGCAGGAAGAACTGAATGGGGGAAGTTGAAGACACTTCCTCACATGTACTTTGAAAGCCAGCTCTGGGTGATCCGTGGTTTAGTATGAAATCAGGAGACATTTATTACCACTGTCAATTCATCCCATGCATGACCAGCACTTAATTTACACCTTAGTGGGGACTGCTCAACAAGGATTTGGTTGTTCTTGAAACAATACCACACTTTCATGTACACTGTAGAGTCGTACTTTGTAGCTTTCTTCTCACTTTCCAGTTGTGGAAATTGAGGCCCAAAGAACAGAAGGGAATGGCTCCGGGTTGTCCAGGTTGTGAGTGATTAGCAGAGCCACCACTCAGGTTCTTGTTTTTCTGACTCCCAGGCTAGAGTGCTTTGTTCTGGCCTTTCTGCACCTTGGAGCTGGAGGCTCAGTGTGCTCTAGGGACCCGAGGCCACTCCCTCAGTGACTGTGTGTTTTCTGCCGGCACAGTCAGCCCCAGTAAGGAGATCAAGATCGTGTCAGCTGTGCGGAGGAGCAGCATGAGCAGCTGCGGCAGTAGCGGCTATTTCAGCAGCAGCCCCACCCTCAGCAGCAGCCCCCCTGTGCTCTGCAACCCCAAGTCTGGTGAGTGTGCGTAAGGTGGACCCACTGCTGACCCTGGTGGTGCGGGTGGATTCTGAGACTGAAGGAGCCAGGAGTTTGATGTCTTACCAGGGCATGCTACTGCATCCCAAGTGCATTAGCAGGAAGCTGGATTGGAAGCTGAGGTGGGACTTCATCCCAGGCACTCTGGTACGGGATGCAGGTGTTCCAAACATGAGCTTCACCTGTTGTGCCACAACACCCATGCCTCTTACTCATTTTTGAGAAGCTTCTACCTCACTCTTGACCTTGTGACATTCCCGGGACCCATTGAACTCATTTGCTTTTTTGCCCCTCAGACAGATAATTTGAGCTTCACCATCTGACATTTAAGAAGTAATCACCCTATTTACACCAGGGTATCTTGTAGTTCTGTATATAAATACCCTAAGCCAGACACCCCACACCCAAATTCTGCAGATATTGTCATAATAAGTATTACCAGGAAGAATAAATAAACTTCCAAGGATATGAAAGAGAAAGCCAAGGAGTAATTCCTTAACCTCAAAATTTCAATGTTTTTGGACATAATAATGAGAAAATATGTGATAAAATAAATCACCAGCACTGTTGCCAAATCATACAGTGTGATTTCTGTATCCAAATTCATAAATGCCAGAGGGTGGAGGGGGAGCTGTCTGACAGGGAATAAAAGATTGCAATCCTCAAACATGGAACTTCTCCGTCTCTCTGTCTGCTGAGAGTCTATTCCCATTGTGAGAGTTGACCCATCCCTCTGTTTTGGTGAACAGAAATTCATTTTCCTTTTCTAAGCTTCTTGTAAGCAAAAGTAATAATCCCAGCCACCTTTCTCTCCAACAAGAAGCACTCCACGGCCTCTCGTTGAGAGGGTGCCCATGTGACTAGCAGGCACTCCCACTGCTGCATGCTGGTTTCAGGCCTGGCTGCTGATCTCCGAATGCTGCCAGCACTCGGGGAGTCAGAGGCTGGATATTTGTCAGGTTAGGCCCCACGCCCTAGGCCCTTTCATTGCTTTGTGGCAGTTCATGACATCTATGTAACTTGGGTGTAATGATCCCAGTCCTGCTGTGGAAGCTGGGGCAGTCACTTCTCCAGTTCTCGTAAGCACAGGATGGATGGGAAAGTCCGCTGCTGGTGGGTTTTTAGGCAGATGGCAAGTCAGAAATTGGCTGTTGGCTTTGCCATCTTGGCCAACAGTAGTGAGTCAGTGAGTGCAGGCATCTTAGTGGTGCACCCACTGTTAACTTTGGAGCTTCTGAGCCCTGCCATGTGCTTACAGAGGTAGCAGAGCTCAGGAGGGAATGAGTAGCACAGCGTCCAAGGATGTGGGTGCTGGAGACCAGTGTCTGAATTTGATGGTAATCCTGCTGACCATTAGCTCTGTGACCTTGGACATGAGCAATTTCACTTTTCTAAGCTTCTTAGTTGCTTAATGGGGATAATAATGAGTCTAACTCATACTTTATATGATTTGAATGAGAGAATATATTTACAGCACCTAGCATGGTGCATACTGAGTACTCTGTTGAGTACTCAGAAAAGTTTTCCAGCATCACTACTCAGACCAAAAGTAGTCCTTGGTGTTAATAAGGAAATAATATTTTCATGTATGGGGTGTTAGGGGAAGGAAGTTGTATGGGGTTTGTGCTTGAAATGTGACTCTCAGACTGCTAGCATCAGGTTTTCTTCTACCTTTGAAATGTATAAATCCATGTGGGGGTTTCAAGGGAAGAAATGGTCTCAAGAATTAGAGAGCAAGATGTTTTTCTTAACAGATAATTTCAACTGCCCCTCCCACCTCCCTACCCCCTACCCCCACACCCCTCCACCCCCCACATTTCCCTTCCCTTCCCTTCCCTTTCTTTTTCCTACCTCTATGAGTTCAGATTAGGGTTATTAATGTTAGCTGAGGTTTTCTGTTTTTACTCAGAGTAGAACCTGGGAGGCAGGGGTCTTTGCCCCTTCTGCTCTTGGGTGGGTGGTCACATGCAGACTGCTCACTATCTGATGAATAGGTGGGGGATGGAGGATGGGGAAGTGTGGATTGCCTGACATGGTGTCTGTCTCACAGTGCTAAAGAGACCCGTCACTTCAGAGGAACTCCTGACCCCCGGGGCTCCATACGCCAGGAAAACATTCACGGTAGGCTTCTTATGTATGGTGTGCCTCTTCCTTCTGTGCCACTTGGTTTTCTGTGCCAAGTCAACGTGCAGCTTGTAAACTTAAGACTTTTCCTATTTTTTTTTTTGTTTTTAGCATAATTATAGTAGTAGAGTTTCTTGGCCCTAAGATACTAATGTGGATTAGACAATTAACATTCTTTTTGAATGGTCTTTAAAAAAAAAGATCTCCATTATGCACTTATTCTGATATAATCATTGATATGAAGGCAACTGTTAGTGTAAGTGAAGCCAACAATTCCTTCTGAATTACAGTTAATGCTTTTTTTTTTTTTAACTTTATTTAATGAATATAGATTTCCAAAGTACAGCTTATGGACTACATTGGCTTCCCCCCACCCCCCAATGACTTACAGTTAATTCTTAAAATCATTTGAAACGCTGGAGGAGTCTTACAGTACAGACAGGAAGCTATGGGATATATTGTTCTTTGCCTGGGACAGCATGCCTTGAGGTAGATATGCAGGCATCTGCCTGGGAAGCCCAGTATCCTAAGCACCTGTGCCTTCCAGGAGGTGTTTGTGCCCTCCCCTGCCTCCTATGCGCCCCAGTGGGTTTCTTCAAACAGTATTAGTGTTTTAGTGACGTCCCCTCACTACTTCCTTGCCCTTGACACTTTACCTCGGTCTCCTCACGTCTACTTCGAGATTCTCTTCAAGACACTTCTCTGTCTCTGGCTTCTCACTTTTCCTCTGGGGAAAAAACTTATTTCCCTACTCTTCAGGCTGCAAACATGTGTCAACAGCTACTTCCTGTGCTGAGCACTGAGGAGTCCACGTGAGAAAGGCACTGCTATTAAGTCTGTACCAGGGAGAAGGGCAACCCATACATTTGGCATTGAAATTAATTATAATGCACAAGTAGCAGCAAACTCTAAAACGGTTGAAGTGCCTAAAAGTCTTCTTGAAATTTTCCATTGAAATTTCAATTTACTTCGCCATTTTTCCCCAGCCTTCAGCACCCAAGAGACAGTTGATTGTATTTAGACGGTATTCACTTTTGACTTTTAGTTTAAATGCCAGTGTTGCTAATAAATGATTGTGATGTGTCTCTGTGTATTTCAATAGGGATGTGTGTTAAAGACAGGTGTGTTAAAGAGCTGCCCAGGGTGCATAAACACCAGTTCTAACCATGATTCTGTAGGAGAAGACACACTCTCATTCCAGACAACTTTTGGGTCAGAGTCTACTTGTCAGTTGTGAACTTTGTGCGCTTTTTCACTTTTTTTTCTTGTTAGATAAATTTGGTTTCAGGAAAGCCCAGAGTTTCCATATTTCCTGACATTAGTAATTTGAACTGTTGTTCTGGACCTCACTGACAAAGCAAGATTGAGTGTATCATTTGGGTCTGGGAGGAAAAAAACAAACTTGGATAGAGTTTGGATGTGGAGAAAAAGCACAAATCTGACCCATGCCTTCCAGTTCTTCTGAACTTCATGTTGGAATGTTATATTCTGTTGAGTAGCAGCCTAAGAAAGAGGTACTCTGTCACTTGCTTCTGGAACCACACCCTAAAAAACAGCTTCTTTTGGCCTTATGGGTTACATTTGCAACCACATCTTCCAAAGGGATTGGCCTGAGTTTGTGGTTGGAGGAAAAGTGTTCCATTCCCCTGAGAGGGTAGAGATGAGATGGAGAAAAGATACATCCTGACACATCCTCAGTCTTGGGCAGGTTTCCTTCTATTGGGAAGCCAGGCAAATTGCCAGGGACTGTCTGCCAATTGCTAATTGTGGTTTTCCTTTCTAGATTGTTGGGGACGCAGTTGGCTGGGGCTTTGTGGTGCGCGGAAGTAAGCCATGCCACATCCAAGCCGTGGACCCCAGTGGCCCTGCAGCTGCAGCAGGAATGAAGGTACCCAGGAGAATTTGCTCACTCTCTGTTGTACTAGTTCTGGGTTCTTCTGGCTGAATTGCCATGGTTCTGATTTGGGATCCAAAAACCTCTTACATTGTACCTGGTCTGTCTTTGCTTTCTCTTTCTTCTCCAAAGCCCTAACCCTCCCTGAATCTTCCCTCTCTCCTAACAGCAGTGGCAGGACACCTCTAACCTTAGTTCCTTGTTTAGCGCCACCTTGACTTTCTGTCTCTGAGTGGTTTCATCCCATTTCTGTCAAATTTCCTTTTCCCTTTCTGAATGGGGTTAAAATGAAGCTGAGAGTGTCTGATGTAATGACCAGGAGAGAAAGTTTTCCTTTGGTTCTGCATTCTTTGTCTCCAGCCTCCCTTGGTTTTCCATAGTTATTCCCTCAACCAATGCTGCGTTTGAAAAAGTATATGTTTACTTCAAAAAGCTTGTGAAAGGTATAACTAAAATTAAAGTTTATTTTCTTATAAAAATTTTTGAGATCTGTGCATATCATGGGTCATGACAACGTCTGTGAAAATGTATGCTGTGGCAAAATATACCTATATATATATATATTTTTTTTTTTTTTTTGGACAGGCAGAGTAGACAGTGAGAGAGAGAGAGACAGAGAGAAAGGTCTTCCTTTGCTGTTGGTTCACCCTCCAATGGCCGCCGCGGCTGGCGCGCTGCGGCCAGTGCACCGCGCTGATCCGATGGCAGGATCAGCCTTTTTTTTTTTTTTTTTTGCTTCGTATGCTCTAGTCTGCACCACTAGCTGCACACACCCCACAGAAATGCACCTTCCCTAGATTAGAGGTAAAGGTGTTTTACATATATAAGATTTAAGCAACAAGAAATGTAGGAGGGTACTTCAAAAAGTTCATGGAAAATAAAATTAAAATATGCTATTTGGTATCAGAAGTTTTGAAATATAGGCCCTTGCCCTGACTGTTGATGAACAACTTAATACGTTATCCCTCTTAGTATTATTTTTGTTTGTTCTACTTAATACTTTTGGTTGAATACTGTAATCAATACACAGTTATTCTTAAGTGTTGAAACTTAACTGAAAAGTGATCCCTGTTAAATATAAGAGTGGGAATAAGAGAGGGAAGAGATGTACAATTTGGGACATGCTCAAGCTGACTTGCCCCAAACGGTAGAGTTAGAAACATACCAGGGGATTCCAATTCAATCCCATCAAGGTGGCATGTACCGATGCCATCTCACTAGTCCAAGTGATCAATTTCTGTTCACAATTGATCAGAATGATAGGACTAAGAGCCAAAGGGAGCACATAAACAAGACTAGTGTCTGCTAATACTAACTGATAGAATAAAAAAGGGAGAGAACGATGCAACATGGGAAGCAGGATACACAGCAGACTCATAGAATGGCAGATGTCCTAAATAGCAGTGTGGCCTCAGAATCAGCCCTTAAGGCATTCAGGCCTGGCTGAAAAGCCCATGAGAGTATTTTAGGCATGGAAAGCTAAGACACTCTGGCAAAAAACAAACAAACAAACAAACAAAAAAACCCTAAATGAAAGATCTCCGCGAGTGAGATCCCAGTGGAAAGAACAGGTCATCAAAGAAGGAGGTACCTTTCTCTGAAGGGAGGAGAGAACTTCCACTCTGACTACGACCTTGTCTAAATATGATCAGAGTTGGTGAACTCAGGGGGCTTCCATAGCCTTGGCAGCTCATGACAAGAGCCTAGGGTGATTACTGATGCCATAAACAAGAGTGTCAATTTGTTAAGTCAACAACAGGAGTCACTGTGCACTTACTCCTCATGTAGGATCTCTGTCCTTAATGTGCTGTACATTGTGATTTAATGCTATAACTAGTACTGAAACAGTATTTTACACTTTATGTTCTGTGTGGGTGCAAACTGTTGAAATCTTTACTTAATATATACTAAATTGATCTTCTATATATAAAGAGAATTGAAAATGAATCTTGATGTGAATGGAAAGGGAGAGGGAGCGGGAAAGGGGAGGGTTGCAGGTGGGAGGGAAGTTATGGGGGGAAAAAGCCATTGTAATCCATAAACTGTACTTTGGAAATTTATATTCGTTAAATAAAAGTAAAAAAAAAAGTGGAGACATAAAGAAATGTAGAGAAGCAGGATTTATTCAAAGCAAAGGAAAAGTGCAGACAAGCTTGAGAGTAAGAAAAAATGAACAGACAACCAAAAGACAAAAAGATTCAGACAAGAAAGAAAAAAAAAAAAACCTTCCCAAAGCGGGGGCAGGAAACTCCTCTCAACAAGGTTAGGCTGTGTCTCTATACAATCTGGAGGATAGGAGGTGATGTCTGGGGTGGAGTTTAACTGAATACTCAAAAGCGATGAAGTTTGGAGTGGGGCTTGGCTACCATTTCTGTGCCTTTGTAAGTGTCATGGCATCAAGTGCATGATGGAGTGGGAGTACCAGCCTCGGTAATTTTATTAGAATGACATTATGATGATCTAACAGTCATTGCATTGACACATCCTGCAGCCATATTGGATATTTCCAGTTGGTGCTGGTTCTAAGTTTCCATTGTTGTGGAACTTGTGGTTTCAGTTACATGGAAAGGCTTGGTGGTACATGGAATGCAGGCCTGAGTGGTGTGCAAAAAGAGAGACTTGCGTGGTTTACAGAAAAGGAAGTGATTTTGAATGGTACACAGAAAAGAGGTTGCCATGTGAACCAGGCTGGGCTGTTATGCTGGGGTTGGCCACAGCTGTCCTGCACAGGCTGCTAGAACTATCCTGCGTTCTGTTTCACTGAGGCTGTCAAACTGGAGGTCACCCGGATCTGTCGATCAGTGACCCACAGTGCTGCACACATTGGGTGGAGCTGTCCAGTAGTGGCAATTACTACTGCACGGGTCACCGAGAGCTGTCAAGTGATGACTTGCACTACTCTGCAGCTGTAGCTGTCAAACCGTGGTTTGGCTGAGGCTGTCAAACCTCAGCTCTGTCTCCTATCTGACACTATCTGCCTTCCTAACTCAGAGATAACTGCTCTTAATATTTTAAAAAATTAATTCCATTTATTTGGAATGTAGAGATGTAGAGAGACTCTTAGAGACAGACTGATAGATCTCCCATATGTCAGTTTACCCCCCAAATCTCCTAAACAGCTGGAGCAGGGCCAGGCTGAAGCCAGGGGCTGGGACCTCAGTCCAGGTCTCCCAGATGGGTGACAGGGATCCACCCACTTGAGTCTCACCTGCTGCCTCCCAGAGTACACATTAACAGGAAGCTTGAATCAGAGTTGGAGCCAGGACTTGAACCCAGGAACTCCAAAATGGGATGTGAGTATCCCAAGTGGTGTCTTACTTGCCGAACCAAATGCTCGTTCTTACTGTTAGCAATTTTTTTTTAAGATTTATTTTATTTATTTGAAAGACAGAGTTACAGAGAGAAGTAGAGACAGAGAGAGAGATCTTCCATCTGCTGGTTCACTCCCCAGATGGCCACAATAGCCAGAGCTGCGCTGATCCGAAGCCAGGAGTTTCCTCCAGGTCTCCCACATGGGTGCAGGGACCCAAGCACTTGGGCCATCTTCTGCTATCCCAGGCCATAGCAGAGAGCTAGATTGGAAGAGGAGCAGCCAGGACTAGAATGGGCACCCATATGGGATGCTGGTGCTTCAGGCCAGGACTTTAACCTGTGCCAGCCCTCCTACTGTTAACATTTTTAAAGAAGCGTCATTGCAGTATAGTGGCATATGATCCAATTTAGCACTCTTAGCATTTGATTGATATTCTTCTAGATGTCTCCCATCCATATATATGTCTACACATTGTTTTTGTCTATACAGAAATATGGTATTAGGGGATGTTGAGAGCATCTGTTTTCTGCTTCAAAACACTTTCATCTAGCTCACAGTTTTGTTCTGTCATTTCTGAAACATTTCACAGAGGGTATTGATCTTTTGATTAGCTGGGACCCTGGGAGGTGTAGAAGTCTTGAAGACCAAAGATCGTTCCTCTCATGTATTTATTGATTCATTCAATGCCTTGGTCTGGTCCATCAAATCTTTCCCTGAAGCAGAAACCAGCACAGCAGCAAGCGGTGCCTTGCATCTTGGATCTCCATCTCCCAGTTTCCAGCACCTGCCCTCTGCCAATGATTTACACCTGAGAACAAAGGTGGGCCGCAGAGGGTGGCTCCCAGGAGCAAAGTTCACTGTTAATGCCAGTCTCAGGGATTAATGCTGTTGTAATTAGGGGCTGATTCTGCCCCCTGATTTGAAGACCTTGGTCACGAGAGGCAGGCCCATGCCCACCAAATCCTGCGCCTTGGGCAGCCTGGAAGCCTTGCTGGCTCAGATGGTCTCTATTAGAATCCCTCCTTACCTACTCAGAGCTGTGGTGGGCACAGCACCAAGGAAGCTCCAAGCAGGAAAGCTGGCTGGGATCATAAAGGGCGAGCACTCATATCCATGCCAAGGCTGCATTTTTTCTTTTCTAATGGAACTCTTGGCTGTAGGAAGGCGTTTATATTTTATTTCCACAGTAAAGTACCTAGGATAAGTGATTCTTGGCACAGTAAACCAGTTCTGAGCATGCACTCACTTGCATGTGGCCTTGACTTAAAGCACATTTCCTTTGAGGAAAGCAATGGATGTACATTGCAGCTACAGACTTCACCCTGCTCAGTCAAGTGTACAGTGAAAGTAATTGATTTTAGTTCATCTTCATTGATTAACATGCATAATCACTCTGAGCACCATGAATTAATTAACGCTTTAGGTTACCTATCTTACTAAACTGGCTAGCTGGTGTATTTTTTTTTCAATTTTATAGGCTAGTACGTCATATGGTTCATATTTTTAGTGTGTCAGGAAGTGTGCAATGGCTTTCCTATGTTGCAGAACAGTGCATGAGTCCTGAGAGCAGCACTTCCGTCCCACTGTGTGTAACTGGTCCTGCCCAGTGTCCTGAGAGCAGCACTTCCATCCCACTGTGTGTAACTGGTCCTGCCCAGTGTCCTGTCCTAAGCCACAGTGC